CCCCTCACGCTTCGTGGCCCCATAGGGAGCTCCACCGAAGGTCCCAGTGGGTGTGCCCGCATGCGTCCCCGCCATTCATTTCTGCACACCCCTCACACGTTTCGTGGCCCCATAGGAGCTCCGCCGAACGTCCCAGTGGGTGTGCCCGCTTGCGTCCCGCACACCCATTTCGGTACACCCTTCACACGCTTCGTTGCCCCATAGGGAGCTACACCAGTGGGTGTGCCCACATGCGTCCCGCACACGAATTTCAGGCCACCCCTCACACGTTTTGTCGCCCCACAGGAGCTCCGCCGAAGGTCCCAGAGGCACAGTCCGCATGCGCCCCCGCCATTCATGTCGGCCCACCCCTCACACGCTTCGTGGCCCCATGGGGGCTCCGCCGAAGGTTCCAGTGGAACAGTCCGCATGCGTCCCCGCCACTCATGTCGGCACACCCCTCGCACGTTTTGTGGCCCCACAGGAGCTCCTCCGAAGGTCCCCGTGGCGCAGTCCGCATGCGTCCCCGACGCTCATGCCGGCCCACCGCTCACACGTTTCGTGCCCCCATAGGAGCTCCGCCGAAGGTCCCAGTGGCACAGTCTGCATGCGTCTCCGCCATTCATGTCGGCCCACCCCTCGCACGTTTCGTGGCCCCATAGGAGCTCCACCGAAGGTCCCGGTGGCACAGTCCGCATGCGTTCCCGCCACTCATTTCAGCACACCCCTCACACGTTTCGTGGCCCCATAGGGGCTCCGCCGAAGGTCCCCGTGGCACAGTCCGCATGCGTTCCCGCCATTCATGTCGGTACACCCTTCACACGTTGCGTGGCCCCACAGGAGCTCCGCCGAAGGTCCTAGAAGCACAGTCCGCATGCGTTCCCGCCACTCATTTCGGCACACCCGTCACACGCTTCGTGGCCCCATAGGAACTCCACCGACGGCCCCCGTGGGGCAGTCCGCATGCGTCCCCGCCATTCATTTCGGCACACCCCTCACACGTTTCGTGGCCCCATAGGAGCTCCGCCGAAGGTCCCAGTGGCACAGTCCGCATGCGTCCCCGCCACTCATTTCGGCACACCCCTCACACGTTTCGTGGCCCCATAGGGAACTCCACCGAAGGTCCCCGTGGCGCAGTCCGCATGCGTCTCCCTTGCCCAGTACAGCGCTACGTGGCCCCATATGGAGCCCCACCGCAGGTCCCAGCCAGCCAGCTAGCTCTCTTTGCTCCGCGCAGCGGACGACCCGCGCGCGTCGCTGGGACCCCTCCGGGGCGACCTGCGCGCGTCGCGGGGGCTCCGTGCTGCGTTCTGCCCAGCGCCTCGCTCGCCCGTCGTCGCTCTGCCCAGCGGCAAGAGCCTTGCCCGCTATCAGCCAGCCAGCTAGCTCTCTTTGCTCCGCGCAGTGGACGACCCGCGCGCGTCGCTGGGACCCCTCCGGGGCGACCTGCGCGCGTCGCGGGGACTCCGCGCTGCGCTGCGCCCGCAGCCTTGGACTTTTGAGTGCGCGGGCAAGGAGGGAGTAAAGAAAGGGGAGGAAGCGGGCGCGATCCTCGCGGGGGGGCGCGCCGACATTGGCGTCGCGGCGCGCGGGCGATGCCGTCGGGGAGTCCCGGGGAAGCTCCTTGCGGCGGCCACGCCGCGCGTCGCGAGTACTCAGAGGCAGCCATTGTCAAACTATTGGCATTCATATACAATTGCACCACGCCTTGTGATATTCGCATTCATGCACGTAGACTCGCTCGCACGCAGATTCATTCACAGTCAGACGCACGCGCGCAGATACACCCGCGCTCAGTCTCCCTAAGTACTCAGATCAATCGTTTTCGCTCGCGTCGTGTACCACGCCACTCATGTCGGCACACCCCTAGCACGGTTCGTTGCCTCGTAGGGATCGCCACCGAAAAAATGAATCACTACTGCGGCACTCACACCTGCATATGGTTGGGCCCCTCGTCAGGCTAATGATTTTATTTTTCTTCCAAAATCCGCCTGTACGAGGACATGCCCGACCTAAGGCTAGGTCGTCGTCGTCGTCGTCGCCTTCTTCCTCGCGCGACGACGACGAAGACCTCGGCATACATCCCACGTGCGTCTCGCCGAGGCAAAAAGCTTATCATCCCCCCGGGAAACCGAAGTCGATTATCCCCGAGGGAGTAATGTCGTAGGCGCGGTGTTATCCATATCCACGGTTTCGTGGTTGATCGTTTGCGTGGATGCGCCGCGCCTTGAGTGCGGAACCACCAAAACGACCTCGCAGGCTTGGATCCTGGGGCGAGCGCAGCCGTGGCAGCGAGGGGCCCCCGTTCGCGCGGAGTGGTAGAGCCAGAGTCCGCGCCGTCGTGGCCGGGGGCCTGCCGCATGCGCCTTCCCGGCTAAGCTGGGAAGGCGCGCGCGTACACCGATCCCTGGCCCGTGACGTCCCGGGCCCGTGACGGGCCTGGTTAGGACCTGTGCCGGTGCGCAGTCTTAGGGTGCAGGTGCTGGGAGGTCAGATCCAGTCTCGGCGCTGGTGTATCCGTACCAGCCTACGATCTGGCGTAACCCCGCCCGCGTCCGCTGAATTCCACCTGGTCCAGCGTGGTCGGGCTTAGGATTAGGCTCAGTCCAGCTTAATCTGCTCCCAGGAGTTGCTTCCTAATCATTCAGACGGCGAAAACGAGCTCTGAGATCCGACGTCAGGAAGAGATGCAGCGTCGAGGCAGATCACACCAGGAGCCCTTGACCCCCCACCGGTTTGCGGCAGTTCCCCGTTCGGGCTCGTTTGCCCAGACCCGGGCCGCAACGCCCAGGGTGAAATTCGGGCGTTTCGTGATCGGGGGAGTACCCTTCATGCATTTTTGCTGCAGCTTGAGGCCCCCTGGGTACCAAAAGCCGCACGAATGATACACGCATCTTCGCCCTCCTTACGATTGCCCCCCATTGCCAAACGCTGGAGAAATACATCAGATGCCTAAGACATCGGTGCATCTTCTTTTCGAAACTCCGACCGCGTGATTCCTCTCGCTTCGCGGGGTGCACGTCCGGAGCACGTACAGCCCAGTCGTTCTTGTGCCTCGTGGCAGCCTTGGGGGCCTCTTGGGAGCCTCTTGGGGTCCTCTTGGGGCCTTTTGGGGACGTTTTGGGCCGTCGTGAGGCGCTCTTACGCCGTCTGGCCCTAGAGTAACATGTCTCGGTTTTCCGGGGCTCATCTTCGACGTCGTGGCCGCAGGCCGTCATGGGCTTGTCAGAGCCGAAACAGGCGAGAACGCTAAAATCGTTCAAAACCTATAGGAAAATCAATATTTGTGGCCTGTGGAAGCGCTCTTGTGGGCGTTCTTGGGGCCCTCTTGGGCCGTCTTGGGGGCTTCTTGGGCCATCTTGGGGCCATCTTGGGCCGTCTTGGGGCCGTCTTGGCCCGTCTTGGGGCCATCTTGAGCCGTCTTGACGTGACCCCCAAGATGCCCAAGGGGCCCGAATCATCGGTTTCCCGTAGGTTTTTGTTGGTGTTGAAGCCCAGGAGGGGTCCCCTCTTTGGGTCGGTGGATGTGGCGTGGCCTGGGGCGGGGGGGTTAGGGGGAAGACATAATAATGTAATACAATGCAATACCAAGCAATTATGCAATAATTGGATACATAGGATACGTTGCATTAGGGCTTCCGCTCCACTGCGCGACCTGCCTCTGGCAGCACGTCACTTCTGGACGTGGATTCCTCTTGCTTCGCGGGGTGCACGTCCGGAGCACGTACAGCCCAGTCGTTCTTGTGCCTCGTGGCAGCCTTGGGGGCCTCTTGGGAGCCTCTTGGGGTCCTCTTGGGGCCTCCTGGGGACGTTTTGGGTCGTCGTGAGGCGCTCTTACGCCGTCTGGCCCTAGAGTAACATGTCTCGGTGGCTCATCTTCGACGTCGTGGCCGCAGGCCGTCATGGGCTTGTCAGAGCCGAAACAGGCGAGATCGCTAAAATCGTTCAAAACCTATAGGAAAATCAATACTTGTGGCCTGTGGAAGCGCTCTTGTGGGCGTTCTTGGGGCCCTCTTGGGCCGTCTTGCGGGCTTCTTGGGCCATCTTGGGGCCATCTTGGGCCGTCTTGGGGCCGTCTTGGCCCGTCTTGGGGCCATCTTGAGCCGTCTTGACGTCGGCGTAGACCCCCAAGATGCCCAAGGGGCCCGAATCATAGGTTCCCCGTAGGTTTTTGTTGGTGTTGAAGCCCAGGAGGGGTCCACCATCTTTGGGTCGGTGGATGTGGCGTGGCCTGGGGCGGGGGGGTTAGGGGGGGAGACATAATAATGCAATACAATGCAATACCAAGCAATTATGCAATCATTGGATACATAGGATACGTTGCATTAGGGCTTCCGCTCCGCTGCGCGACCTGCCTCTGGCAGCACGTCACTTCGGACGTGGATTCCTCTCGCTTCGCGGGGTGCACGTCCGGAGCACGTACAGTCCAGCCGTTGTGGGGCTTTTTGGAAGCCTCCTGGGGGGTTCTTGGAAGCTTCTTGGAGGCTTCCTGTGGCGTTTTGGGGGTCTCCTGGGGGCCTCTTGGCGGCCTCTTGGGGGCGTCTTGGGCCGTCTTGGGCCGTCTTGGGGCGCTTTTGCGCCGTTTGGCCCCTTCGGGGGCCTTCTTGGGAGCCTCTCGCGGCCGCCTTCGGGCCCTCTTGGAATCCTCATGGGCCGTCTTGGGGGCCTCTTGGACCGTCTTGGGGGCCTCTTTGGGCTGATTTGGGGCTCCCTGGGGTTGTCTTGGGGCCACCTTGGGTGCTTCTTGGGTTGTCTTGGGACCATTTTGGAGGCTGCTTGGGCCGTCATGGGCTTCTGAAGAGCCGACAACACCGAGAACGCTGAAATCTTTGAAAAACTAACAAAAAATAATGTTTTTGGCATCTGGAGGCCCTCTGGTGGGCTTTCTTCGGGCTCTCTTGGGCCATCTTGGGGGCGTTTTGGGCCCTCTTGGGGCCATCTTGGGCCGTCTTGCGGCCGTCTTGTCCCGTCTTGAGACCATCTTGAGCCGTCAGCACATGCGCTGGCTCATCATCGACGAGGTGGAGAACGTGTCGGTGGAGCTGCTGGACGCCGTGCACAGGCAGGTGAAGGACTCGACGAGGGACAAGGGAAACCCCTGGGCCGTGGACGCGCGCGTCCCAAAGCAGTTCGCCATGTTCGGAGGGTTCAACCTTGTGCTGCTCGGGGACTTATGGCAGATCCCGCCCGTCAGGAGCCCCAGTATAGCCGCCAATCCATTTGTCAAGAGACCCGCCAACGTCGGCCGCATATTGGAGATGTTCTGGACACAGGGCTTGCCGCACTCGGTGACTAACCGCTACGCCCTGACCCAGTCGCACCGCTGCTCAGACTTGTGGTGGAGAAGCTTTCTCGCGGAAGCGCGCGCTGGGGATCTGTCGGACAGGATGTACGATTTCGTCCACGGCTTCTCGACTGACGTGCCCGGCTCCTGGATGCCCGCAAGCCCCGGCAGCGCCGAGGCCTCGACGGGGCACCTCGGCTGCGGGAAGGCGAAGTGCCGCGCGCTCTGGTCAGTTGAGTGGCCACGGATGTTCGGAGAAGGTCGGGCCTGGGAGGACATGAAATCCCTGGAGTGCGCTGATTGCAGCGCGGAACGCCGTCGGCGCTGCCGCGTCGCCTCTCAGAGCGGTGCCAGACAGCGGGAGGTGAGCACGGCGTTCGCGGACGCGCTGTTCGTGCACCCGTACAACGCCCCGAAGAGCAGGATTCTGACGCTGCGAGCGGCGAATGCGGCAGCCAATGCTGGGAAGCAGCTTCTCTGGGCGGTGGCGCGCGATGTCCCCCTCACTCGGGACGACGCATGCAGGTCGACGGAGTCGCTCGCCCACGCCAGGCAGAATTGGCTCATGTACCCCGAGAACAAGACTGGCGGAGTTCCGGGTGCGCTGCCGATCTTCGATGGGATGCGGGCGCGGTTCACCGCCGCGGAGAATGCAGAGGCGGGGGCCTGCAAGCACTCCTGGGGTACCGTGACGGGCTGGGTCCTCCACCCCGACGACTCGAAGTTGGTGAAAGACCACAGGTCCGAGCCGGAGCTGGTCCTGCAGCACGTGCCCGAGGCGATCATGGTGCAAATTCCCGGGAATACGGCGCCCCGCTTTGGGAATCAGCCCGCGGGTGTCTTCCCCGTGAAGCAGAAGGAGGTGTCCTGGGATCGTAGTCCTGGCTTCAAGGCCATGGTGAAGCGCGCGGGGTTCCCGCTGGTCCCGCACTTCGCCGCCGCGGCCCACTGCGTCACCGGCGCCACGCTGCCGCAGGCCATCATCGACCTCCTGGACGCGCGCGCGACGCCCCGTTCGTCCATGGCCCCCACGGGCTACGTGGCCATCAGCCGCACCAGGAGGGCTGACGACCTGATTATCACGCAGCCCTTTTCGCCGATGCTTTTCCGGCAGGGGCACCAGACTGGCCCGCGGCTCCTGCGCTCCATGACAGCCGGGGAGTTGACGACGGAGCAGGCGAAAGCCGGCTGGGCCAAGGCAGAGAAGGAAGCGGCTTCCAAGTCGTCCAAGAAGGTGGTGGACGCCACGTTCCAGCGCGGCGACTGCCACCAGCGGAAGAGAGCGGGGAATTTCCCAGGCAGTGGCATGAGAACGAGCGACCCCGTGGACCACGCCGTGGCGGTGCTGAGCCAGGGCGCCTGGAGGAGGTGCGCCCTCTGCGTGCAGAAGCAGGCCGGAAAGGCTGGAATCGGCGTGCAACCCGCCCGTTCCGCCCCCTTCTCCTCAAGGGGCGGACGTCCTCGAGTGCTGCAAGTGCGGGAAGCAAAAGGCATTGGTCCACTTCAGACTCGGAGAGGTGAACGACCTGAAGGCGCGTGGGGACCTCGACCGCGCCGTCTGCATCGGCTGCGCTCCAAATCGGCTGCACTTCAACGTGCAGTCGGAAGTCCGCCTGTTCAAGTGCGCGCAGTGCGCGGTCCAGAAGCCGACGGAGGAGTTCGACGAGACATTCTTCAAGCAGCACCGCGGGGCGAAGGACCTGATCTGCACTGACTGCATGGACAGGAAGATGAGACCCCTGTGCCGGGGAAAAGAAGGGCTTTGCGGGGCCAGGCCGCCACGGCGGTTGACAAATGGGCACGACTATTATTGTGAGAGCTGTAAATACCCGCCGTGCTCGGCGTGCGGGGTGACGCCGCGGCCGAAGATGGAGAAGTACACTGCGAAGAGGCTGCCGCAGTGGACATGCGCGGCGTGCCGCAAGAAGAGCGACGCTGCTCAGTGCGGGGCGCGTTCTGCCGCCATTCCCTGGAGAATCATTTGGAGCTCCAATCGAGACAGCGGGGAAATCCTGTGCCGGAAGTGCCAGGGGAAGGCATGAGTTGTTCTCGCGGTGGAGCAGCCTGACCCCGCGTGACCAGGCGCCCCACCGCGGTGCGCCCAGCCAGCCGCCTGCGTAGCCGCGCGGAGCCTTATCGCTAGAGCCCCGCTGCGTGCGAATCATTCCCGCTGCCCGAGCCCTGTCGCGTTGCGCAAAGTCGCCACCAGCAGCGGAGCGCTGAGCCTGCCCGACGGCACACAGGGCAAACATGTTTGTCCCATTCAGGCGCAGAGACTGCGAGGTCGCTGATGCCGCGTGGATCTCCTGAAAAACAGATGTTGGCTTGAATGGCATGCCGTCTCCTGTAGTCCTCTGCGGTGGCGTTTCCTGTCGTCTTCTGCGGTGGTCTGCCGCGCCGTCCTGCAATCGTCGAGGCATCCATATGGAAACGTCCTGGAGTGGTGAGTTGGGAGCTCCTTGGGTCCCTTTCAGGGACTTCTGCCGGCTTTTGGAAGGCTTCTCGGGCGCATTTGAGAACCCCTGAAAGCCTCTTGGGTTTTTTTGGGGGCGTCTTGGGCCGTTTTGGGGCGCTATTTCGGAATCTTTTGGGGGGGTCATGGAGGCTTCTTCGGGGCTTCCCGGGTCTTTCGGGGGGCCTCTTGGGGGCGTCTTGGGCCGTCTGCGGACGCTTGGAGCCGTTTGGCCCCTTCGGGGGACTTCTTGGGGGCCGCTCGCGGCCGCCTTGGGGCCCTCTTGGGGTCGTCTTGGGCCATCTTGGGGTGCTCTTGGGCCGTCTTGGAGGCCTCTTGGATCGTCTTGGGGGCCTCTTTGGGCCGTCTTGGGGCCCCCTTGGGTGCTGCTTGGGCTGTCTTGGGGCCATTTTGGAGGCTGCTAGGGCCGTCATGGGCCTCTGAGAGCCGGGAAAGGCGAGAACGCGAAATTCTTTGAAAAAACTTAAGGAAAATCGATGTTTTTGGCCTCTGGCGGCGTTCTGGTGGGCGCTCTGAGGGCCCTCTTGGGCAATCTTGGGGGCTTTGTGGGCCCTATTGGGGCCATCTTGGGCCGTCTTGGGGCCGTCTTGTCCCGTCTTGACACCATCTTGAACCGTCTTCACGCCCTCTTGGATCCCCAAAAGGCTCAAGGTGCCCAAATCATTGGTTTTCCATAGGTTTTTCTAAATTCTGAGGCCCAGAAGGGGCCCTCCTCCTGAGGGTCGATGGAAGTGGCGCGACTCCAGGGGGGGTAGGGGGGGACACATAATAATGTAACATGATACAATATGTAGGAATTATGCAAGCATTGGACACATTGGATCCATTGCATTACAGCATCCGCGGACCTGCCTCCGGCAACACGTCACTTCCGGACGTGGATTCCTCTCGCTTCGCGGGGTGCACGTCCGGAGCACGTACAGTCCAGCCGTTGTGGGGCTTTTTGGAAGCCTCCTGGGGGGTTCTTGGAAGCTTCTTGGAGGCTTCCTGTGGCGTTTTGGGGGTCTCCTGGGGGCCTCTTGGCGGCCTCTTGGGGGCGTCTTGGGCCGTCTTGGGCCGTCTTGGGGCGCTTTTGCGCCGTTTGGCCCCTTCGGGGGCCTTCTTGGGAGCCTCTCGCGGCCGCCTTCGGGCCCTCTTGGAATCCTCATGGGCCGTCTTGGGGGCCTCTTGGACCGTCTTGGGGGCTTCTTTGGGCTGACTTGGGGCTCCCTGGGGTTGTCTTGGGGCCACCTTGGGTGCTTCTTGGGTTGTCTTGGGACCATTTTGGAGGCTGCTTGGGCCGTCATGGGCTTCTGAAGAGCCGACAACACCGAGAACGCTGAAATCTTTGAAAAACTAACAAAAACATGTGTTTGGCATCTGGAGGCCCTCTGGTGGGCTTTCTTCGGGCTCTCTTGGGCAATCCTGGGGGCGTTTTGGGCCCTCTTGGGGCCATCTTGGGCCGTCTTGCGGCCGTCTTGTCCCGTCTTGAGACCATCTTGAGCCGTCAGCACATGCGCTGGCCCATCATCGACGAGGTGGAGAACGTGTCGGTGGAGCTGCTGGACGCCGTGCACAGGCAGGTGAAGGACTCGACGAGGGACAAGGGAAACCCCTGGGCCGTGGACGCGCGCGTCCCAAAACAGTTCGCCATGTTCGGAGGGCTCGACCTTGTGCTGCTCGGGGACTTATGGCAGATCCCGCCCGTCAGGAGCCCCAGTATAGCCGCCAATCCATTTGTCAAGAGACTCGCCAACGTCGGCCGCATATTGGAAATGTTCTGGACACAGGGCTTGCCGCACTCGGTGACTAACCGCTACGCCCTGACCCAGTCGCACCGCTGCTCAGACTTGTGGTGGAGAAGCTTTCTCGCGGAAGCGCGCGCTGGGGATCTGTCGGACAGGATGTACGATTTCGTCCACGGCTTCTCGACTGACGTGCCCGGCTCCTGGATGCCCGCAAGCCCCGGCAGCGCCGAGGCCTCGACGGGGCACCTCGGCTGCGGGAAGGCGAAGTGCCGCGCGCTCTGGTCATTTGAGTGGCCACGGATGTTCGGAGAAGGTCGGGCCTGGGAGGACATGAAATCCCTGGAGTGCGCTGATTGCAGCGCGGAACGCCGTCGGCGCTGCCGCGTCGCCTCTCAGAGCGGTGCCAGACAGCGGGAGGTGAGCGCGGCGTTCGCGGACGCGCTGTTCGTGCACCCGTACAACGCCCCGAAGAGCAGGATTCTGACGCTGCGAGCGGCGAATGCGGCAGCCAATGCTGGGAAGCAGCTCCTCTGGGTGGTGGCGCGCGATGTCCCCCTCACTCGGGCCGACGCATGCAGGTCGACGGAGTCGCTCGCCCACGCCAGGCAGAATTGGCTCATGTACCCCGAGAACAAGACTGGCGGAGTTCCGGGTGTGCTGCCGATCTTCGAGGGGATGCGGGCGCGGTTCACCGCCACGGAGAATGCAGAGGCGGGAGCCTGCAAGCACTCCTGGGGTACCGTGACGGGCTGGGTCCTCCACCCCGACGACTCGAAGTTGGTGAAAGACCACAGGTCCGAGCCGGAGCTGGTCCTGCAGCACGTGCCCGAGGCGATCATGGTGCAAATTCCCGGGAATACGGCGCCCCGCTTTGGGAATCAGCCCGCGGGTGTCTTCCCCGTGAAGCAGAAGGAGGTGTCCTGGGATCGTAGTCCTGGCTTCAAGGCCATGGTGAAGCGCGCGGGGTTCCCGCTGGCCCCGCACTTCGCCGCCGCGGCCCACTGCGTCACCGGCGCCACGCTGCCGCAGGCCATCATCGACCTCCTGGACGCGCGCACGACGCCCCGTTCGTCCATGGTCCCCACGGGCTACGTGGCCATCAGCCGCACCAGGAGGGCTGACGACCTGATTATCACGCAGCCCTTTTCGCCGATGCTTTTCCGGCAGGGGCACCAGACTGGCCCGTGGCTCCTGCACTCCATGACAGCCGGGGAGTTGACGACGGAGCAGGCGAAAGCCGGCTGGGCCAAGGCAGAGAAGGAAGCGGCTTCCAAGTCGTCCAAGAAGGTGGTGGACGCCACGTTCCAGTGCGGCGACTGCCACCAGCGGAAGAGAGCGGGGAATTTCCCAGGCAGTGGCATGAGAACGAGCGACCCCGTGGACCACGCCGTGGCGGTGCTGAGCCAGGGCGCCTGGAGGAGGTGCGCCCTCTGCGTGCAGAAGCAGGCCGGAAAGGCTGGAATCGGCGTGCAACCCGCCCGTTCCGCCCCCTTCTCCTCAAGAGGGGCGGGCGTCCTCGAGTGCTGCAAGTGCGGGAAGCAAAAGGCATTGGTCCACTTCAGACTCGGAGAGGTGAACGACCTGAAGGCGCGTGGGGACCTCGACCGCGCCGTCTGCATCGGCTGCGCTCCAAATCGGCTGCGCTTCAACGTGCAGTCGGAAGTCCGCCTGTTCAAGTGCGCGCAGTGCGCGGTCCAGAAGCCGACGGAGGAGTTCGACGAGACATTCTTCAAGCAGCACCGCGGGGCGAAGGACCTGATCTGCACTGACTGCATGGACAGGAAGATGAGACCCTTGTGCCGGGGAAAAGAAGGGCTTAGCGGGGCCAGGCCGCCACGGCGGTTGGAAAATGGGCACGACTATTATTGTGAGAGCTGTAAATACCCGCCGTGCTCGGCGTGCGGGGTGACGCCGCGGCCGAAGATGGATAAGTACACTGCGAAGAGGCTGCCGCAGTGGACATGCGCGGCGTGCCGCAAGAAGAGCGACGCTGCTCAGTGCGGGGCGTGTTCTGCCGCCATTCCCCGGAGAATCATTTGGAGCTCCAATCGAGACAGCGGGGAAATCCTGTGCCGGAAGTGCCAGGGGAAGGCATGAGTTGTTCTCGCGGTGGAGCAGCCTGACCCCGCGTGACCAGGCGCCCCACCGCGGTGCGCCCAGCCAGCCGCCTGCGTAGCCGCGCGGAGCCTTATCGCTAGAGCCCCGCTGCGTGCGAATCATTCCCGCTGCCCGAGCCCTGTCGCGTTGCGCAAAGTCGCCACCAGCAGCGGAGCGCTGAGCCTGCCCGACGGCACACAGGGCAAACATGTTTGTCCCATTCAGGCGCAGAGACTGCGAGGTCGCTGATGCCGCGTGGATCTCCTGAAAAACAGATGTTGGCTTGAATGGCATGCCGTCTCCTGTAGTCCTCTGCGGTGGCGTTTCCTGTCGTCTTCTGCGGTGGTCTGCCGCGCCGTCCTGCAATCGTCGAGGCATCCATATGGAAACGTCCTGGAGTGGTGAGTTGGGAGCTCCTTGGGTCCCTTTCAGGGACTTCTGCCGGCTTTTGGAAGGCTTCTCGGGCGCATTTGAGAACCCCTGAAAGCCTCTTGGGTTTTTTTTGGGGGGCGTCTTGGGCCGTTTTGGGGCGCTATTTCGGAATCTTTTGGGGGGGTCATGGAGGCTTCTTCGGGGCTTCCCGGGTCTTTCGGGGGGCCTCTTGGGGGCGTCTTGGGCCGTCTGCGGACGCTTGGAGCCGTTTGGCCCCTTCGGGGGACTTCTTGGGGGCCGCTCGCGGCCGCCTTGGGGCCCTCTTGGGGTCGTCTTGGGCCATCTTGGGGTGCTCTTGGGCCGTCTTGGAGGCCTCTTGGATCGTCTTGGGGGCCTCTTTGGGCCGTCTTGGGGCCCCCTTGGGTGCTGCTTGGGCTGTCTTGGGGCCATTTTGGAGGCTGCTGGGGCCGTCATGGGCCTCTGAGAGCCGGGAAAGGCGAGAACGCGAAATTCTTTGAAAAACTTAAGGAAAATCAGTGTTTTTGGCCTCTGGCGGCGTTCTGGTGGGCGCTCTGAGGGCCCTCTTGGGCAATCTTGGGGGCTTTGTGGGCCCTATTGGGGCCATCTTGGGCCGTCTTGGGGCCGTCTTGTCCCGTCTTGACACCATCTTGAACCGTCTTCACGCCCTCTTGGATCCCCAAAAGGCTCAAGGTGCCCAAATCATCGGTTGTCCATAGGTTTTTCTAGATTTTGAGGCCCAGAAGGGGCCCTCCTCCTGAGGGTCGATGGAAGTGGCGCGACTCCAGGGGGGGGTAGGGGGGGACACATAATAATGTAACATGATACAATATGTAGGAATTATGCAAGCATTGGACACATTGGATCCATTGCATTACAGCATCCGCGGACCTGCCTCCGGCAACACGTCACTTCCGGACGTGGATTCCTCTCGCTTCGCGGGGTGCACGTCCGGAGCACGTACAGTCCAGCCGTTGTGGGGCTTTTTGGAAGCCTCCTGGGGGGTTCTTGGAAGCTTCTTGGAGGCTTCCTGTGGCGTTTTGGGGGTCTCCTGGGGGCCTCTTGGCGGCCTCTTGGGGGCGTCTTGGGCCGTCTTGGGCCGTCTTGGGGCGCTTTTGCGCCGTTTGGCCCCTTCGGGGGCCTTCTTGGGAGCCTCTCGCGGCCGCCTTCGGGCCCTCTTGGAATCCTCATGGGCCGTCTTGGGGGCCTCTTGGACCGTCTTGGGGGCCTCTTTGGGCTGACTTGGGGCTCCCTGGGGTTGTCTTGGGGCCACCTTGGGTGCTTCTTGGGTTGTCTTGGGACCATTTTGGAGGCTGCTTGGGCCGTCATGGGCTTCTGAAGAGCCGACAACACCGAGAACGCTGAAATCTTTGAAAAACTAACAAAAAATAATGTTTTTGGCATCTGGAGGCCCTCTGGTGGGCTTTCTTCGGGCTCTCTTGGGCCATCTTGGGGGCGTTTTGGGCCCTCTTGGGGCCATATTGGGCCGTCTTGCGGCCGTCTTGTCCCGTCTTGAGACCATCTTGAGCCGTCAGCACATGCGCTGGCTCATCATCGACGAGGTGAGAACGCGTCGGTGGAGCTGCTGGACGCCGTGCACAGGCAGGTGAAGGACTCGACGAGGGACAAGGGAAACCCCTGGGCCGTGGACGCGCGCGTCCCAAAACAGTTCGCCATGTTCGGAGGGCTCGACCTTGTGCTGCTCGGGGACTTATGGCAGATCCCGCCCGTCAGGAGCCCCAGTATAGCCGCCAATCCATTTGTCAAGAGACCCGCCAACGTCGGCCGCATATTGGAGATGTTCTGGACACAGGGCTTGCCGCACTCGGTGACTAACCGCTACGCCCTGACCCAGTCGCACCGCTGCTCAGACTTGTGGTGGAGAAGCTTTCTCGCGGAAGCGCGCGCTGGGGATCTGTCGGACAGGATGTGCGATTTCGTCCACGGCTTCTCGACTGGAGTGACCGGCTCCTGGATGCCCGCAAGCCCCGGCAGCGCCGAGGCCTCGACGGGGCACCTCGGCTGCGGGAAGGCGAAGTGCCGCGCGCTCTGGTCAGTTGAGTGGCCACGGATGTTCGGAGAAGGTCGGGCCTGGGAGGACATGAAATGGAGTGCGCTGATTGCAGCGCGGAACGCCGTCGGCGCTGCCGCGTCGCCTCTCAGAGCGGTGCCAGACAGCGGGAGGTGAGCACGGCGTTCGCGGACGCGCTGTTCGTGCACCCGTACAACGCCCCGAAGAGCAGGATTCTGACGCTGCGAGCGGCGAATGCGGCAGCCAATGCTGGGAAGCAGCTCCTCTGGGTGGTGGCGCGCGATGTCCCCCTCGCTCGGGACGACGCATGCAGGTCGACGGAGTCGCTCGCCCACGCCAGGCAGAATTGGCTCATGTACCCCGAGAACAAGACTGGCGGAGTTCCTGGTGTGCTGCCGATCTTCGAGGGGATGCGGGCGCGGTTCACCGCCACGGAGAATGCAGAGGCGGGAGCCTGCAAGCACTCCTGGGGTACCGTGACGGGCTGGGTCCTCCACCCCGACGACTCGAAGTTGGTGAAAGACCACAGGTCCGAGCCGGAGCTGGTCCTGCAGCACGTGCCCGAGGCGATCATGGTGCAAATTCCCGGGAATACGGCGCCCCGCTTTGGGAATCAGCCCGCGGGTGTCTTCCCCGTGAAGCAGAAGGAGGTGTCCTGGGATCGTAGTCCTGGCTTCAAGGCCATGGTGAAGCGCGCGGGGTTCCCGCTGGTCCCGCACTTCGCCGCCGCGGCCCACTGCGTCACCGGCGCCACGCTGCCGCAGGCCATCATCGACCTTCTGGACGCGCGCACGACGCCCCGTTCGTCCACGGCCCCCACGGGCTACGTGGCCATCAGCCGCACCAGGAGGGCTGACGACCTGATTATCACGCAGCCCTTTTCGCCGATGCTTTTCCGGCAGGGGCACCAGACTGGCCCGCGGCTCCTGCGCTCCATGACAGCCGGGGAGTTGACGACGGAGCAGGCGAACGCCGGCTGGGCCAAGGCAGAGAAGGAAGCGGCTTCCAAGTCGTCCAAGAAGGTGGTGGACGCCACGTTCCAGTGCGGCGACTGCCACCAGCGGAAGAGAGCGGGGAATTTCCCAGGCAGTGGCATGAGAACGAGCGACCCCGTGGACCACGCCGTGGCGGTGCTGAGCCAGGGCGCCTGGAGGAGGTGCGCCCTCTGCGTGCAGAAGCAGGCCGGAAAGGCTGGAATCGGCGTGCAACCCGCCCGTTCCGCCCCCTTCTCCTCAAAGAGGGGCGGACGTCCTCGAGTGCTGCAAGTGCGGGAAGCAAAAGGCATTGGTCCACTTCAGACTCGGAAAGGTGAACGACCTGAAGGCGCGTGGGGACCTCGACCGCGCCGTCTGCATCGGCTGCGCTCCAAATCGGCTGCGCTTCAACGTGCAGTCGGAAGTCCGCCTGTTCAAGTGCGCGCAGTGCGCGGTCCAGAAGCCGACGGAGGAGTTCGACGAGACATTCTTCAAGCAGCACCGCGGGGCGAAGGACCTGATCTGCACTGACTGCATGGACAGGAAGATGAGACCCCTGTGCCGGGGAAAAGAAGGGCTTAGCGGGGCCAGGCCGCCACGGCGGTTGAAAAATGGGCACGACTATTATTGTGAGAGCTGTAAATGCCCGCCGTGCTCGGCGTGCGGGGTGACGCCGCGGCCGAAGATGGATAAGTACACTGCGAAGAGGCTGCCTCAGTGGACATGCGCGGCGTGCCGCAAGAAGAGCGACGCTGCTCTGTGCGGGGCGTGTTCTGCCGCCATTCCCCGGAGAATCATTTGGAGCTCCAATCGAGACAGCGGGGAAATCCTGTGCCGGAAGTGCCGGGGGAAGGCATGAGTTGTTCTCGCGGTGGAGCAGCCTGACCCCGCGTGACCAGGCGCCCCACCGCGGTGCGCCCAGCCAGCCGCCTGCGTAGCCGCGCGGAGCCTTATCGCTAGAGCCCCGCTGCGTGCGAATCATTCCCGCTGCCCGAGCCCTGTCGCGTTGCGCAAAGTCGCCACCAGCAGCGGAGCGCTGAGCCTGCCCGACGGCACACAGGGCAAACATGTTTGTCCCATTCAGGCGCAGAGACTGCGAGGTCGCTGATGCCGCGTGGATCTCCTGAAAAACAGATGTTGGCTTGAATGGCATGCCGTCTCCTGTAGTCCTCTGCGGTGGCGTTTCCTGTCGTCTTCTGCGGTGGTCTGCCGCGCCGTCCTGCAATCGTCGAGGCATCCATATGGAAACGTCCTGGAGTGGTGAGTTGGGAGCTCCTTGGGTCCCTTTCAGGGACTTCTGCCGGCTTTTGGAAGGCTTCTCGGGCGCATTTGAGAACCCCTGAAAGCCTCTTGGGTTTTTTTGGGGGGGCGTCTTGGGCCGTTTTGGGGCGCTATTTCGGAATCTTTTGGGGGGGTCATGGAGGCTTCTTCGGGGCTTCCCGGGTCTTTCGGGGGGCCTCTTGGGGGCGTCTTGGGCCGTCTGCGGACGCTTGGAGCCGTTTGGCCCCTTCGGGGGACTTCTTGGGGGCCGCTCGCGGCCGCCTTGGGGCCCTCTTGGGGTCGTCTTGGGCCATCTTGGGGTGCTCTTGGGCCGTCTTGGAGGCCTCTTGGATCGTCTTGGGGGCCTCTTTGGGCCGTCTTGGGGCCCCCTTGGGTGCTGCTTGGGCTGTCTTGGGCCATTTTGGAGGCTGCTAGGGCCGTCATGGGCCTCTGAGAGCCGGGAAAGGCGAGAACGCGAAATTCTTTGAACAAATTTAAGGAAAATCAATGTTTTTGGCCTCTGGCGGCGTTCTGGTGGGCGCTCTGAGGGCCCTCTTGGGCAATCTTGGGGGCTTTGTGGGCCCTATTGGGGCCATCTTGGGCCGTCTTGGGGCCGTCTTGTCCCGTCTTGACACCATCTTGAACCGTCTTCACGCCCTCTTGGATCCCCAAAAGGCTCAAGGTGCCCAAATCATCGGTTTTCCATAGGTTTTTCTAGATTTTGAGGCCCAGAAGGGGCCCTCCTCCTGAGGGTCGATGGAAGTGGCGCGACTCCAGGGGGGGGTAGGGGGGGACACATAATAATGTAACATGATACAATATGTAGGAATTATGCAAGCATTGGACACATTGGATCCATTGCATTACAGCATCCGCGGACCTGCCTCCGGCAACACGTCACTTCCGGACGTGGATCTATAGGCTTACGCCATATCCGCCGACCCCTCTATAAACTATGGCGCCTCCGGGATTGCATTTCTTGAGGCTTGTCCGAATCATGACACGGCGCTCGACATCGTTCCTGTTACCTCGTTGTTGTTATCGTACCTTTTGGTGTTCTTTTGTAGCCTTTTGGTGGCATCTTGGCCTGTCTGTCTGCAGGCCATGTCCGGCCGCCTCGAGGCAACTTGAGCAAAGTTTTGGGGCCTCTTGAGGGCGTCCTGGGGGCTTCTTGGAGGCCTTTGAGGTTCTTTTGGGGGTCCTTCAGGGCCTCTTGGGCTGTTCTTGGGGCAGGCTGGGGGCATCTTAGGGCCGAAGGCTCGAAAAGGTGCCCTCTGGAATCCGTCTTGGAGCCGTCTGGGGGCCCTCTGGGGGTGTTTTGGGGGTTTCGCGGGCTGTTGTTGGACCCTCTTCGAACCTTTTTGGGGGCCCCTTTGGCCGTCTGGGGGCGATCTTGAAGGTTTCTTTGCCCGTCTGGGACGTTGTGAAAACCGAATAAACGAGCAAGGGAATGGGACGATTTTTGTTTCTTGGGACCCTCTTGGGGCGCATCTTGGAGCCCTTTTGGGGCGTCTTGGCAGCTTCGGAGGCCGCCTGGAGGCAATCGTGGGCGTCCAGGGGCGAGATGTCGGCGAATCGTGGCCCCCTGGGACCGTCTGGGGAGCGTTTTGGTGCCTTTTGGTCAGTTTCGGAGCCCTGCGCTCCCCCGTGACGCGTTCGGTCCGGGGTCGCGCTCGGGCAGGGGGGGGGGGGGGGGGTCAAATTGCCAGATTGGGGTCCCTGGGAGGGGATGATGGGGGGGAGACTCTCGCACGCCTAGAGACCCACAAGGTGTCGGCTGATTTTTCACGCCGTCGACCCACAGAGGTCTGGACCCCTTGCCTTCCCGGGATAGATTGTTCATCCCGGGCAGTTTTTGACGGTCCCAGGGCCCGGCGAGGGCCCACAGAGGCCAAAATCGGCCAATATGTTCCCGTCGTGTCTTCTTCGACGCGAAGGGCATCGGCATTAGTATTGGTACATCCTCGTCCTGAGGAGCCGCCCGGCGCCCAGCATCGGTGGTCCCGGGAGCCCTGGGGCCCGATAGCGCGATAACGGGCCCCGGAACCCGAGATGAAGGACTGCTCTTCGTGAGGAGCCGCCCAGCGCCGCCGCGATCGCCGCCGTGGCGCGCGCGCGGGCGCTGTGCCGGGCGGGCGTGGGGGCGGCAGCGCCCCAAGAGGCCGAGGAGGCGGCTGGGCGCCTCATGCGGGCGCTGCTCAGTGCCAGCGGGAGCTCGGCGGCGCGGTGCCGCAGTGGATGGAAATGGGTACGCGAAGCTTGGTGGCCCAGGGACGAACCGCAGATCCTGGCCATTTTGGATAGAGTTTGCTGTCGGTGTCGCCGCGGACGTTGTTCTTTTGAAACGGAAAGTCGCCTGCCCAGCAGCGGCCGGTGTGGTTCTGGACATTTTTCGTCGCTGGGCATCGCATTTATCTTCCCGTACTCGTCTCGGGCGTCCAAAGGTGCGGCGCGGCCTTGGGCGGTTTGTGCCTTCATGCCGGGCAGCCTGGGGTTGCGGTTGTCCACCTGGAGCCTCGTCGTCGTCGCCGTCGCCGCCGTCCCAGATCTCCAACAATACGATTTTATCGATCTGGGCGTTTTTCGTCGCTTTCGGCCTCTGGGCCAGTTTTCGGGCCTGGGGTCCATCAAACACGGATCGGGTGCGATAAACGTGCCCCAGGGAAGGGGTCGCGACCTCTGGGGCCGCGTCGTCGTCTCGAAGAAGAAACAGGATAAACGTAAGATTTCGAACCCCCTGGCGGAGCCCTCGGCGCTGTCCTGGGCGCGGTCCGTGCGCCATGGAGGGGGTCCAGCGCCGATCCAGGAAATCCGCGCGGACCTCCGACAGTTTATTTGTATGGAGCTGTCTTATTCTTCCACTCGTGCCAGGCAATCCAAGAACGGTTGCCCACTTGGAGCCTCGTCATCGTCGTCGTCTTCGCCGTAATCGCCGCCACCGTCTCCTGAGATCACTCAGGGGAGGAAGAGGTACCGATGCCGCCACCGTTGCCTCGTTTTCGCATGTTTGGGCCTCCTGTGAGCCCCTTGTCGCCACCGCTGGATTCGCCTCGAAGTTCTGGTCAGAACACACGCCGAGACAGGTCCAGGGAGTAGCGGTATCAGCACTCAGGGCGATGCGGTTTATTTCGCGCCGGGCGTGTTGTTGCCTGTTTTGTGGGTCCGCGGGGTCCTCGCGGATCGATCTGGCTCGGGAGATGCCGAAGAGTCCTCAGATCGATTCAGCTCGAGTGGTGCCGTAGAAGATGGGCGTCCAGAGCTCCAGGCGTGATTTTTCCATATGTTGTTGAATGCCGCATCTCAGTCTCTCAGTCTCGTCGTTCCCCCGTGGCAGCGGTAAGTTGTTGTTTATCCTGGGCCAAGGCAGAGTTGATCCTGGGAGAGAGGCGGCAATGCCGCCCTTCATTATCGCCGGGGGTAGTACGAATCTAAGTTGCTATTCTCTCATGTGGAATACCGTGCATCCGAAGTTTCATTACTACTACCACGAAACCGACTACAACTACGACGACTACGACTACGACGACTACTATTATTACTACTACTACGTGCCCTCTTGGGCGGTCTTAGAGGCCTCGTGGGCCGTTTGCAACGCCGTGAAGGCCGAAGAGGCGTACATGCCAAACATATACGTTTCCCCATAGGAATGTTACGAGTTTGGCCCCTCTGGCCTCTCTTCACAAGCCTGTTAGTGGCCTCTTGGAGCGTCTTGGCGGCCTCTTGGTTCGTCTTGGGCCCATCTTGGGCGTCTTGGAGCGATCCGTCGGCATTTTTGTTGCTCTCTTTGGCCGTTTGGGGGGTGTCTTGGGAGGCTCCAAGCCGAGCTTGGGCAGCCCAGACGGGGCCTCTTCGGCCTTCTTGGGGACTTCGTGGGCCCTCTTGGGAGCGTCTTGGAGCGGAAGGCTCGAAAGTTCGGTTCGCCCACCCCCTGTTGGGCCACTCTTGGTGCCGATTTCGAGCCCTCTTGGGCCTTCTTGGGCGCCTCTTGGGTCGTCTTGGCGCTGGCTTGGGCCCTTTTGGGAGCCCCTTGGGACCTCGTGGTGCCCCCTTGAGGCGGTGTTAGCGGCCTCGTGGGCTGTTTGCAACGCCGTGAAGGCCGAATAGGCGTATATGCTAAACATATACGTTTCCCCATGGGAATGGGACGATATTGGCCCCTAAGGCCTCTCTTCGCAAGCCTGTTAGGGGCCTGTTGGAGCGTCTTGGCGGCCTCTTGGGTCGTGTTGGGCCCATATTGGGCGTTTTGGAGCGATCATTCGGCGTTTTTTTGCTCTCTTGGGGCGTCTGGGGGGTGTCTTGGGGGGCTCCAAGCCGAGCTTGGGCAGCTCAGATCGCCCTGGAGGTCTTCGGTTTTGGGTCGAAGTTGGCGAGGGGGGGGGGTCAAATTGCCGGTTTGGGGGGGCGGCTTATGGGGGGGGACAATCTCACACGCCTAAGGACCCACAAGGGGTCGGCGGATTCAGGATTCCCAGACGGTTGGTTGTCTTTCAATGGGGCACTCCCCACCATGATGATACCTTTTTGTAGGGGCCTATGGAGAGGGATACCGGATGGAACGTTGGTGCAGCATCGCTGATGCGTCTTGGGTTTACACGTGTCCTCCTTTGCTCTTCCTCCCTCCTTTTCTTTCTCCTCTCAAGGGTCCCTGAGGGCCCTCCCGAAACCCACGAAGGCCCCGAATGTTCCTCTGAGGGCAGGGCGGTGGGCGTTGCGGACGCTGTGGGGTGTGGTCGTACGGTGTCCGTGGCTGGTGTGTCTGAGGAGGGTCCCGCGGGTCTCGTTGCGACGGTGGTGGATGGCCTTGAGAGGCCTGGCCAAACCGATGTGGTCCTCTTCCACAGCCTCGGCCATCGGATGGCCCATGCGTATTTTGCGGGGCAGTCAGGTGGAGTGTTGGGGCGCTCGGGGCTCCTGATAGAGGCACCTCGGATGTTCCCAAGACCCTCAGTGCACAAAAGCCCGCCTCAAGAAGTTGAGGCTGGGTGAGCCGCCTCGACAGCGGTGGAGGGTCCAGGGTCGTGGCTGATCCCAGACGGGGGTCCCCCGAGTTCTGATGTTACTCGGACGCGTCTCGGCATTGGGCCATCCCTTACTTTCGGTATCGTTTCACCAATCCCCATCCCATCCCCATCTCCTTCAAGCCCCCCACCAAATTACCCCCCCAGTTGGGGATATACCCCTCCAAACCCGACGGGAACGGCCTACATCCCTATCTAGGGGGGGTAAATCGGCCAGTGGGGCCCAGGCCACGCCGCTGGGGATGGGGATCGGTTAAACGATACTCATTTTTAGGAGTGCGCGCTGGCGACTGGCGGGCTGCTGCGCCGGCGAGAGGCGGAGGCGAGGCGGCACCTCGCGGCCGCACTCTGGCAGCTGGGGTCGACGCAGGAGACCGCTGGGTTCCCTGCTGTCCAGGATGGAAGGAAGAGTTCCTCCTCCGCCCTCCCTCCTCCCTCCTCTCCTCCTTCCTCCTTCCTCTCCTTCTCCCTTCCTCATCCCTCCGCCTCCCTTCTCCCTCCCCGTCCCTCTCCCCCTCCCTTTCCCCCCATCACCGCGCGCTTCCCGACTCCTCCGAGCCGATTCGATTCGATTTCCCCGGGTTCCGACTCGATCTGGCTCGATGCGAACATTCCGATTCACGATTCCGATTTCGAGTTCGCCCGATCCGATTCTTGCTGATTTCGATTTGGCAGCCGACTTCTGCAGATTTCTTCCGATTCGGCTTCGCTCCGGCGTCGTCGTCGCCTCCCCTCTCCCTTCCTCGCCTCCTTCCCTCACCTCCATGCTTCGGCGCAGCCGAGCACGGCGGTCGGCCAAGCCGACCTTGCGGTCCCGGGACGCGGCTTCGCCCCTGCAGATGTGTAGCGTATTATGTTATCGTTGCGTGAGCTGACATGTTGAATATCGTTTCATTGATGTGCATCGTTGTCACCCGCAACCGTTTCGCTCCAGGCACCTTCATGCGGCGAAGGAAAAAGGGTTGAGTCTTCACAGGCATCATTTCTGCATGGTAACGGAGCCCTTCGCCTCCTCGAACCAGGGCTTCGAGCTGGTCGAGGCGAGAGGGTTCCTCGCCCGCTGGGAGCGTTTCGCGCGCTGGGCTTTGCGGCGCGCGCTGCAGAATAGGACCTGGTGGGCAGTTGGCCAGTTCTTGGGCGAGTGCAAGAGGATCGAGGAAACAGCTAGGGCCGACGTGGAGCGGGAGTTCGGTCATAGTAACTCAGAATGGCGACTCCAGAGCAGATGCTGGAGCATATCAATCAGCTGATGCAGGGCCAGAGGCAGCTCGCGGTCTAACTACAGAACTTGGAGGCGGAGAACGCACGATTGCGCCAGGAACATCAAGATGGTCTACGACAGTCGCCCGATCTCGTCCAGACGCTGACCACGCTAGTTGAGGGTCGCGGCCAGGGCGCCTCTCCAGGACTGGTGGATAACCGAGGTATCGGAAAGCCGAGTGTGGTTTCAGGTGATGAGAATAAGTTCAGAGAGTGGAGCAAGAAGTTTGAATCATTTGTGGTCACAGTGTATGGAGACAAGCTACGAGAAGTCCTGGAGTGGGCGGTTGAGCGGCCAGAAGCAGTTACCATCAAGGCGGTCAGCGCAGCTTTCGGGGATGATTCGGACGAGCCGATGGACAACATCGCGAACATCAATTCGCAGATGTATGCTGCCCTACAGCAATTGTGTACAGGAGAGCCCTCCGATATCGTGAGCAATGCGGCTTCAAACAATGGGTTTGATTGCTGGAGGAAGCTGCACAAGAGGCACGACCTTGCCACTGGCAGCCGCAAGAGGACAATATTGAGGAGCGTGCTGAGTCCTGGGCAGGCCACTCCTGATGAGCTCGGCTCGGCGCTGGAGCGCTGGGAGGAGCTCGTGGCTAGATGCGAGCGTCGACGTGGGCGAGATGGAGTTCGAGAGAGGCTGCCCGAGGATATTCGCATGTCGGCGCTGGAGTCTCTTCTTCCGGACGACTTGGGCAAGCACGTCCGGCTTGATCAGTCGAGGTTCGCCGACTACAGTTCCCTCCGAGCGGAGGTGGCGCAGTACTTCGAGCAGCGCACCGGCAACCTAGTCAAGGACCCGCTGGTCACTGGCGGACCAGGAGGAGGAGGAGGAGGACAGCGCCGCAGAGGATCAGATGATATGGATGTCGGATCTCTTCAATATCGCGGTGGCAAGGGCGATGGCAAGGGAAACAAAGGCAAAGGATATGTGGCAAAGGTGGCAAAGGCGACCCGAAAGGCAAGAAAGGCGACATGTCGAACGTGACCTGCTACAACTGTGGGAAGAAGGGGCACGAAGCAGATCAGTGTTGGCAGAAGGTTCGACGTGGGAACGACTCGAAAGGCACCTCCAAAGGCGGCAAAGGCAAGAAGGGCAAGAAGGGCGGCAAGAAGGACGCGAACCAGATGGACGAGGATTGGGCGGAAGGAGGAGAAGGTCAAGCAAGGCAAGACCAGCCAGAGCCAGAAGAAGCAGGTGGTTTGGAGTTGCGCGCGCTCGCGCCGCCACTGTGCGTCATCGACTCAGAGAATTGGGTTTCAGTCAACTTCGATTCTGGAGCGGCTGCCGCAGCTATGCCAAGTTCATGGTCAGCGGCAGATGGCACGCCGAGTGGTCGGCAGTATCGCACGGCAAGTGGACAGATCATCGACGACGAAGGCCTGGGTGCGATCAGAGGGTTTGACGAGAACAAAAGAAGACTTCGGTTTCGAGCGCGCCGAGCGGCAGTGACCAAGCCAGTCGCGTCAGCCTCGAAGATGCTGAGTGACAAGATCGACTACATGGACAAGGAAGGTGGCTTGATCTACGGTGAGGACAGCGTTCCAGGTCGGCGGCTGCGACAGTTCGCGGTGCGTCTCAAGCATGATCATCCAGATGATGGCATTGGGCTTTGGCAAGCGAAAGGAGTCTGCAACATGTATCTCAAGGTGGGTCCCAAGACGGCGGCCACGATACGGAGCTCGACGAGTCGGAGTCCCACGAAGCCCGTCAACACCGTCGAGAGCGAGATGGCCGCGCGCGCAAGGGATCTGGCAGCAAGTCCTCCGTCGGAGGGCTGCCGGCAGGTCCGCCCGCAGGGCCGGCCGCGGCGCCAGTTGCCCCAGTCGCCGGGGGGCTTCTGGCAGGAGCCGCAGAGCCAGCGAGGCCGGGCGGCGCGCCGCCGCCGCCGCCGGCCGATGAGGAGGCCAGACTTCCGAGAGTGAGGGTTCCGAGGTCACCTTCGGCGCCTACGCAGAAGGAGATTGATGAGCACGAGGCGTCTGGGCATGCAGTGTTCAGAGCATGGTGTTCGGCGTGTTGTGATGGGCGTTCATATGGGCAGCCACGTCGTTTGGTTCCCAGAGATGAGGAGATGGAGGTTCCTGTTGTGCCCATGGACTTCGGATGCCTCGACAGCGCCGAGGCGGGCGCGATCCGGAAGGGCCAGGAGCGGAGGACCACGTTTGTCGTTCTGTGTTGGCGAAAGTTGAGATGTTATGGAGCTACCGCTTTGCCCAACAAAGGAACTGGAGAGTTTGTTGTCAGAGCGTGCTCGGATTTCTTGGACTATCTAGGCCACAAGAGGCCGGTTCTCAGGTCGGATGGCGAGGAGGCGATGTTATCGCTCAAGCAGGCCATTGGACAAGTGCGAGTCTAAGGACATTCTCTTGGAGGAGCCGCCTGTTGGCGACCACTCTGCGGACGGCCAAGTCGAGAACGCAGTGGAGATCATCGAGGCGCAGGTCCGCACCATCCTGTTGGCTTTACAGTCGAAATGGGGCAAGCGCCTTTCGTTCGGGCACCTGCTCGCGCTCTGGGCCATCGGGCGCGCGGCCTCAGTCATCAATCGATTTCGAGTTGGAGCTGATGGACGCCCTGGAGAGGAGTTGCGTACTGGGCGTAACTGGGAGCGTGCGAGTGTGGCCTATGGCGAGCGCGTCAAGGGCAAGAAGCTCGTGATCGACCAAAGGAAGCGAGACCTCGAATCAAGATTTTTGGATGGTTCTACATTGGACATTCTAGTCGAAGTGGGACGGCATAGCTGATCACGAAAGACGGTGTTCAGAGAGCTACTGGGCTTGCACGTCGAGCCCAGTTGAGAGATGGAGGTGCGGACCAGACGTTCTCGAGCTTCAGGGCGAGCCCGGGACTTGGCAGCGGGGGCGTGGAGAAGAAGCTGTGGCTGCAGTACCTGCCCCAGCTGGAGCTGTTCCACCAGTGGTATACCTGTCGGAGTTCAGGCGCGTCTGGCGCCGCCACCGCAGGCGAGAGTTCCAATTGTGAGGGGCTTCTACGTGACGAGAGCCATCCTGGCGAAGGTTGGCTATATCGCAGGCTGCGCGCGCTGCGATGAGCTACGGGTGCGCGGACAGCGAGGAGCAGCAGGCCTTAGCCACTCGGCTGGCTGCAAGACGCGCGTGCTCGCGGATCTGGTGAACTTGGGCGATCAGAAGGCCAATGACTCTCTGAACGAGAGGGCCCGTCAGGGCCAAGATGCGGGGCCTGCAGCTGCCGCTGCCGGGCCATCTGGAGTTGAGCGAGCTGAAGCACCGGCCGTCGTCCCTGCTCAGGCGGGGCAAGGAGGGGGGGCGCCCAGCGCTCCCCCCGCGGGCCCAGGTGCTAGTGCCGAGGGGGCTGTGGCGCCCGATGTGAAGAGGCAGATGGAGGGATCTCAAACAGTCATTCGACCAGCAGCCGACGCACCGCGACGAGCAGCTACGCGGACAACGGAAGGAGAGCCGGCGTCAAAGTCACCGCCTGCTATGTTCGGGAGCTCGAGTTCGCCCTCCCGAGTACGTCCTCGTGAGGACCCTGGAGATAGAGGTGGTGGTGATCGGGTACCTGCTGCGCTTCAGGGTGCCCCATGCCTGAGGCTTAGTTCTTCTGCGGGCCCAGCTTCTGGAGCTTCGGGCTCAGGCGCTGTGGACATGAACGCTGGGAGCCTGGAGGTCGATTCGAGTATCCCGCTGGAGTTGGAGTCTCTGGCGATCAGAGAGCTTTTCAATCCAAGCTGTTTCGCCGAGCTGGCGCCAGCTTTTGGAATGGCGCCATGCGTCGCCGCAGACATTGAGCTTTTGAACGAGGACGGGGAGCCGTATGACCTGAGCCTCGAGAGCAATCAGGTCAAGTTTGAGCGCGACGTTGAATTCGAAGACCCTTATCTTCTTTGCTCTGCTCCTCCCTGCACGAAGTTCACGACGCTGCAGGCCCTCGGCCGAGGGAAGCACAAGGATGAGGAGGAGCACCAGTTGCAAGTTGAGAATGACACGAAATTGCTGCGTTTTGGAATCCGGCAGTGTCAAAAGAGGCACGAGAAGAAACGTTGGTTCTTGCGCGAACACCCTTGGTCGGCAATTTCTTGGAGTGGCCCGGGCGTGGTCGCTCTTGCTTCGGAGCCGGGAGTTCATGTTGCACGTGGAGATGTGTTCTTGGGATCTGAAGGCCGAGAACGAAAATGGAGACATGGGGCCAGTCATGAAAGCAACGGGTTGGATGGTTAACAATAGACAATTAGCTGAACCCCTTAATCGCAGGTGCAACGGCAAGCAGAAGCATGCGCAACTCATGGGCAAGAGCAAAGTTCGGGGAGCTAAGTCATACACGATGAAGCTTAAGAAGGCCATCCTTAAGGTGCTCAAGCAGGAGCTCGCGCGGATCGGTGAGTTGAATAGCGTGGCCCAGGCGGGCCCCATTCCCGACCAAGAGATAGAGTGCTGGATGCCAGATGCGCCGTGCGACGGCGTGGCGGAGAACGGCTTTTGGGATGATGTCAACGGAGGTTGGCTAGAACCTGAGTTCGTCAGGGAAGCTGGGAAGCTCGAGATGGATTGGATGAAGCGTCAGTCGGTCTACGCCGAGTGCGATGAGTCCGAGTGCTACAAATCGACGGAGAAGGGGCCGATTAACACAGGATGGGTCGACACGAACATTTCATGCGCCTACCCCCGGAAGAGGGGGAGTCGGCAGGTAAGTGTGCTCGTTTAAATAAGTCGCTCTATGGAACCCAAGATGCGTCTCGCATCTGGCAGGCAGATTATATAACTCACCTGGCCGGAGAAGGCTGGCGGCAGGGCGTGGCCTCGGCCGCGCTCATCTATCGTGAGAACGATGGCGGTCGGGGGGCCCTTCACGGAGGCGGCTTTATGGTTTTAGGTGATGTGGTCACCTTGAGCGAAGTAGATCGCTGCCTTGGGCCACGGTATGATCCTGGCGATCATAAAGAGGTCGTCTTTTCAGGTCTGTGGATTCTCCCAGGGCGCTCGAGATAGAAGGCGACCAGCGCCATGTAGATATGATCCTGCGCGAATTAGGTCTTGATCGCCCCGGGTCCAAAGGTTTGGAGAGTCCAGCTACGTAGCGTTCGTTTCACGAGGCCAAGGCCAGAGAAGCACTTCCTACCCTGGATGCTAGGGGATTCGCTCGCATCGGTCTCTTGTAATGCGTGCAGCGTACTTGAGTCTGGACAGGCCAGACATTACAGAGGCTACTATGACTTTATGTAGGTCCATGAAGTCTCCCAATGATGCTAACCAGGGCGATATGAAGCGCCTTGGAAGATATTGTGTCTCACCGTTGTCTGGTCAGTCGTTTTGAGTCGCATCGTTTGCCTACCGAAGTGACAGTGATCGTGGGCAGCGATCATGCAGGGTGCCCGTTAACTCGTAAGTCGACATCGGGCATTGTTTGCAAGTTCGGCCGCCATGTCTTGGAGGCCTCGAGTTCTCTTCAGAGCACTGCAAGTTTGAGCAGTGGAGAGTAACTTCTATGCGGTTGTGAAGGGGGCCGCCGCAGGCCTCTTAGTCCAGTCGATCGCTCAGGATCTCGGAGTTTCCCTCGGGGTCAGCGTTCGCAACAATGATGATTTCCATATCCAGCTGGCCTCGGATTCGAGCGCCGCTCGTGCGTTTGCCAAGCGTAAGGGCTTGGGCAAGCAGAAGCATGTGCAAAGCAGGTTCCTTTGGGTCCAGGATGCCGTTTCGAGGCGTAGGATCCGGGTAATTAAAGTAGACACTCGCAAGAATGAGAGTTACATGCTGACTAAGTGTGTGCCGGCACATGTATCGCGTCAGCATCTGGTCAGCATGGGTTTCGAGTTTCGTGATTCCTGGAGCAAGCTATATAGAAAGCTGGCCTGGCGAGTAGGTTTCAGTCTGCGCTTTAGGAGGAGTGCAGATGTGTAACGTATTCTGTCATCGCTGCGTGAGCTGACATGTTGAATATCGTTTCATTGATGTGCATCGTTTTCACTCGCAACCGTTTTGCTCCAGGCACCTTCATGCGGCGAAGGAGAAAGTGTTCAGTCTTCACAGACATTATTTCTGCAGCCCCGCCTCGACGGCGGAACGACGGCCTCCTGCGGCGACGTCGGCCCCGAGGGATCCCGCCCGAGGGGGGGGGAGGGGGGAGGCGTCGCCGTCCACAGTCCGTCCCCAGAGGGCCCCCCAACGGGCACCCGATGGGCCTGCTGATCCTCCCCGGGGGGGTTTGCCAGACGGGGCTGGCTGTGCAAACCCTCCCCATGGGGGGGGTTCGGCGAAACCCTCTCGACCCCCCCCCCCCCCCCCGGGAGGGTTCGGGTTTCCCCGCCCCACCCGCCCCCCCCCAAAGGGGGAGTGAGGTTTCCCCCAAAGGGGGTCTGGCGAAACCCGAGCCGCCCCGGAGGGGGGTTTGGCGAAACCCGAACCCCCCCGCCGGGGGGGTTTGGCGAATCTTCCCCGGTGGGGGTCCGCAGTGCGCATCCCCAGGCCGGCCAAGATTCGACGGCGTCGGGCGACCTTCGACGACCCGCGACGACGATTGCGACGACGATTTCGACGACGATCGACGTATGGGGATTTCCGCAAAGAGTCCCACCATAGGATGCGCAGAGCGTGCCTGCCGATTTCGGTTCCGATCCGGTGTCCGCCCAGCCGGCTTCCCACTCAATCCGAGTGGGCAGTTGCTGATTTCGATCTGACAGCCGGCTTCTGCCGATTGCTGCCGATCCGGCGCTCCGGTCGACCCGATCCGGCTTATCGATTCGATTCTCTGGGGCCGCATGGAGCACCCCATTCCCCCTCCCCCCTTTCTCTCAATCCGCCGCGACCGCTCGAAGTGCGTGGATTTGGGCGCTGCAACAAGTGCATCGACGACCACCAGGGCCCGCGCGGCCACGGTCGGCGCGGGCCTCAAATCCTGTAGCGCTCCCGATCCCGATTGGCACGCGCGACGCACGCCGAAGCGAGCGGACGCTCGCGTTCTGCTGCGACTGTTCGGCACCGCCGCAGCTGGACCATTGGTTTGCCATCGCAACACTTGGCCAGTGGCCATGACTGAGAGACAAAGCGCCAACTCTCGCCGCCAGCCGTCGGCCCCGCGCACGATCGACAGCGCTGCTGCCTGGTCCTGCAAGGAAGCAGGCTGCGACATGAACAATTCCGCCACTGCGCGCGCAGGGCGCGCGGATATGGCAAGCCTTACCACCCTTGGCACGACAGAACACCGAACCGATCGCTTCGTGACCGAGGCGCGCCAGTCCGAGGTGCCGAGGAGCAGGAGAATCTCGAGAAGTGCCCGATGGGGATCCTGCCGATTCTTCCAGACGAGGCCAAGCGAAATCCAGCCCGGGCGCCCCGACGGGGGTCAACGCAAACGGGGGTCAGCCAGAGCGCCAGATCTTGCAGGATCCTGCAGGGCCAGGCTCCCATTGACCCGGGTTTGGGTGCAGGACCCTGCAGGATCTTGCAGGATCCTCCGCATTGACCCGGGTTTGGGTGCAGGGTCTTGCAGGATCTTGCAGGATTCTGCACGCCCTGGCTGACCCGGGTCTGGGTTGACCCGGGTCAGGAGATCCCCGAAGATGGCTGCCCAGGTGAGCGCCCTCTCAGCGCCCGCCACCCCCCAACACAGCATGCCCCCGACGTCCCCGCAGCGGCCCCAGCAGCAGATGCTTGCGCTACGGCAGAACGAGGAGGCACAGGACTTGCCAGGGGCAGCCCCGAGCGGGGCGCTCTGAAGCTCGCCGAGGCGAGGGTGGCCGCCGAGAAGCACGCGAAGCAGGAGGGCGAGGTCTCGGCCCTTGCCAACTCGTCTGGGGCGCAGCAGCGCCAGCCGCAGCCGCGCGCGGCAGCCGACGGTGCAATTGCGAAACAGCTGAATACGTGGACCAGCGCGGCCTGCCATGCTGGACGGAGTATCAGGGAAGCTCTGACCCCAGCAGGGCGACCCCGCCAGCGGCGTCGGCAGCCGCGCCGACCGAAGCGGGAACACCAATCGCCATGGTCGAATGAAGGCCACGGCTTGTTTTTCCTCCAGCCCCCCGCGACCCTCTTTTGTGACGGGGGGGGTCGCGCCCGCGGTTTATTATCAAGCGCGTTATCTTCCGACCCGAGTGCCGCCAAGGTACCCCCGCCGTCAGACGGCAGGCGCGCGCCGGATGCGCCGCGCGCCGCCTGCCCCTTATTTTCACTCCGCTACTGTCGCGTCGCCGGCCGACGCCGCGGAGGGCTCTGCCCCCTCGGGCCACGCGGGCGCGCGCGCGGCTCGACATCTGCACTGGCGGCTTGGGGGGCGCCGCCGAGGGGGGCGCCGCGGGCCCGCCGCCCTGGGCGCCCCTCGCGATCGGCACGGGCTCGCAGGGGGCCCTCTCCGTGATCGGCCGCTTTGAGCAGGCGATGCCAGAGCTCCCCGATTTGTTTCGCCAGTCTTCGGTCTCCGCCGATCTCTGCGCGGGGGCAACCGCGGTGCCCCGGCAGCTGCGGCTGCATCGGGGCTCTTGGGCCTCGACTGGGAGCGCGGGGCCCCTGTCGCCGCGCTCGGCACCGACTGCCAGCGCGCCGTGGGCCGATCCGAGGGCGCCGCGCCCCTCGCAGCGCGCAAGCCATCTTCGAAGTGGCTGGGCGGCCTCGCGAAGGTGCTGGTCGCATCGCCCAATGCCAGCGGCAGCGCGCGGCGCGCCGCATGGCCGACGGCTGGGAAGAGCTGGTCGACGCCGTCGCCGCGCTGGCCAGGGGCGGCCTTGCGACCGCGCCGTGCGACCGCGCCGCGCGGGGTCAGCTGTTCCACTGCCGCCAGGAAGTTATGTTGCCCTGGTTAGCGGCTGCCCCCCAGAGCCGGAGTCAACGGCGCCCCCTGCCTGGGGGGCAGTTTTCGCCCTGCCCTCGCCGAGCTGGGCGTTGCGTAGCTTTTTGGGGGGTCGCCTAGCGGGGGGGGGCCAGGGGCGGTGGTGGGGGGCAGTCCCCAGTGAGCGTGGCGCCCAAGATGGCGTCGACCAGCGCGCCCACCCAAGGCCCCAGGCAGACGCGAGATGGCAAGGGCAACGGCTTCCTCAGTCACGAGTGATGCTGCCTGGTCGGGCCCGCGCGTTGGCGGGCCAGTCCGTTTTCTTCGGGCGCCGCGTCGCAGGTGCGCTCGAGACTGGGGCCCCAGTGGGTTCCGCCCCCAGGGTGGGCGACTGCGCGGCCGACCGCGCAACCTTGATTCCAGATGTGCAACGAGGGACCTCGCTTCGGGTCAAAATCCGCGCCTCGACTGGCCAAGGGCCGCGCGCCGCATTTTTCGGCCAGGGGCGCTGCCGTCTTCTATTCTGTTCCGCGAGGCTTGCTGTCGAGCATCCGCTCGCGCGCGCTCGGCGTCGACGCCGCGGTCGGCCGCCCCCCGCGCGGATGCGCGCGCGAGAGCGTTTGCGAGGGGGCGGCGGGCCGCGGCGACGAGCACCCTGAATGGGCGGCGCGCCCCAGCCCGCGAGCTGCTCTGCTTGTTGGGCGCCGGCGCAGGGGTCGGCTCATTCGCCGCGCCCGAGATCGGCGGCTTCCGAACAGTGGCGGGGCCGCGTAGCAGGTTGCCTTCGACGCTTCGCTGCTGGCGCCAGCGTTTGCCCGACCAGCGCGCCCCGTCCGCCCCGGGGCGGCGGGCGCGCGACTTCGGGGCGCGCGACCCTGAGCGAAGCGCGCAGGGGGGCTCCGGACTGACCGCGCGGGGGCTTCACCATTCCTGTCCGATGGCGTCCAAGACCAGGAGCCCAAGGGGCCCAATGGCGACGTCGAGCTGACAGTCTCGAGGCAGAGCCGCGGCCTGGTCGACGCCGCCCCGGCGGTGCCGCCAGACAGCCGCGACGCGGGCCACAGCTGGAGAGGGGCGCGGGCATCGACAAGGACAAGTTCGACATCCCAGAGCGCAGCGCCAAGTTCGAGCGCCCATTGCAGCGGTTGCCGACAGCGGCGCCGCGCTCCTTCGCCAACGGCAGCGCCGCGGAGTTGGGCGACGCGGCGCACTCCTTAGCGGAGCAGGCATTCCCGACGGAACAGCAGGCGTTCGAGAGCCCCTTGGCGCC